GGTTATTTATACATTTCTGCTTTTATTTTTAATTATGTGAATTTTGATCCTTCTTATTCACACATACTGTCTCCAGTGCAATGCTAAAGTTGTTTTTTAAGTATATTTACTGTACCATTAGATATTTTTACTTGAAATATCCATTTGGTGACGTTATGATGTAATGCTGAAGTCTCACCACTAGAGGTCAGGTCATAGCAGCTGTGTCATTTCAGCATCATCAACTTAGCAATAAATTTTAAAGTTGTAAAATTGTAAAGTTTATAGATATGTATTACTTGTCATAAAAACAATAAAGATATGCAGGAAATGAGACAGAGGAATTAAGTTTGTCTTTTGACAAATGTTGTAATTTAATGTCATACTAATTATATGAAATTGAATTGATAAACTAAAGCTGCTGCAGCAAAACCTGGACTTTGCTGCCACTTTGTGTTCAAACAACAAAGATGCAGCACAAAGTAASGAGAGATTTGACTTTGTGATTAAAATTCCCACGGTATACTTTACTTTTCATTTATTGAGCTATTCTGACCCATAGATATTTTTAAATGTCTTGTCCGTTTTCTGTAGTGATTTTAGTTTTTATTAATTTGCATTTATTTTTAAGTACAATATATTGCTGAGAAAGTGACAAAATAAAAACATTTAATAATATGCATACATTAGAGAAATAACAAGAAGAGCACTAATTAGACCCAAAGAAAAGTCTCTCTGCTGCCCCCGTCAGGACACTTATTGTAACAACAGGTATCAWGTCTTCAACAAACAAGAATAATTAATGAATGATTTATTTTTACAGGTACTCTTAAACTTTAAATTATCACAGTTAGTTAAACTAGTACAATTGATTTATCATCATAAAAATCATTACAATTATTAAAACAACAAACCATCTCTTACCAACTTTTTGACTTCTAATATTTTGGAAAAAAGCAGAGCCATGCTTCAGTGTGAAATGACAGGTCCAAAATTAATATTTCAACTCAAAACTAATATAGTTTCATTTTAGCATAAATTTTCAAGCTGAGTCTTATGCTGACATTGTTAAAGTAGCTTTTTTTATTTTGTGAAAGAAAAAAAACTAAATTTGTATTTATTAATTTAAACAACACAGGTCGCTCCTGTTTATGTGACGGTTTCATTTCATAATAAATGATAGTGCCAAGGTTTCAATCACTCTGTTGGAGTGTGCAGACAAAACTCAAATGAAAAAGTAAAAAAAAGAAAGACTTCCTGTTTTTTCTTTTTCACTTCTCAAACAGGAAACCATCTGTCAGACTTCAGTGGGCGAAAAAGATGACAGTAATAATTATAACTGAAGCAGGTAAGATTTTATTCCACATTTTTATGATTTAACCTGAATTTCTGAACACTCTGATGAAAGTGTTTTGTTTTTCGATGCAGGTTTTGTGGCTTAAGTGACTGAATTACTGAACTTGTGCACACAGGCTGAGATGACAGAGTTTTTCTATTTGACAGGATCTTTAAGGAAACAATGAAAGACCAGAAAAATGGAGCAAGAAATTGTTGCTGATAAAATAGATGGGGTCCTTCAAGGTAAGAAGAACATTTCTTTCATTTTGGGGGTAAGAACTGGACTCAGAACCTCCAAACAGGATCAAAAAAGCTGACATGTAAGAGTTTTGTTTGAGAATTTCAAACATTTGAATGACGCAGCACATTTAGCCCACTGAGGTAATACAGTGGATTAAAACATAAAGAAATAAAACAATAAATATATCAAAAGTACACTACGGAAATTTGCATTTTGCGTAAGTGTAAATGCTGAATATTTGCTAAAAATAGTAGTAAAAGCTGAAAATCTGAAGCACAGTTTTTTTTTCAGAGTCAGTTTCTTCACTTCAGGCAACAGTTCATCAYTTCCAGCCCACCTTCTCGGCTCAGAGTGGGGGCAGTGTGGTCGCTCCCTCCATCATCGGTTCTTCCATCGGCTGCATCAACATCAGCGTGCAGACAGTTCAAGGTACTGAGATGTAAAATAAACAGAAGTGAGTTCACTTGTGACCCTAAACTGCCTTCCTCATTCAGACTAATGCATCTTAAAGACCTTTTATTGCCTCGTATTGCTGAGAGTATTCCCTGTCAGCATCCCCAGAATTAAAGCTAAACAAGTGGAGGCAGAATTCTGTTTTTATTCTCCACTAATCTGGAACGAACTCCCTGAAAACTTGCAAACGTGATAAAAGAGAAAGCAAATATAAATGTAAAAGTAACTGAAATTAAAAAATAAAATACAATAGATTCAGAATAGGGATGATGGAAAGATACATTTCAGTTAAAGGTATGTTTATGGAAGAGTCTCGATAGTGAAATCAAACAAATCTAAATATTTTCATGCATTTAGAAGAAATTTGAAAATCATTAYGATGAAGTGAATAAAGCTGATGTTTTGTTTTGTATTCTCTGTGTTTGAAATACAGCTGTCAGTGATTTGAGATGAATATCTATTTTTATGTGAAAAGGAGACAGATATAAGTTTATACTTCCTTCTGCTCCTTTTCAATCATGTTTTTTTAGTTTTATGTGAACTATTCATATTTATTATTGAGAGAATTAAAAAATAAAATGAAAGAAAACAAAATAAAAACTAAAAACTATGGGGATGCAAAAACTGAGTTCTTTTAAATCAAGATTAAAACAAGTTTGTTTTGAGTTGTCCTGATGCATCTCAGTAATCCAGGTAAAAAATCAAAAGGAAAAAAAATTGTATAGGTCCTCTGGACGGGTTCTTCTTTAATGAAACGTTTCCAAACCAGTGGTTATTCCTTATGTTGCGGGTGTTTCGGAGAAACTGAGACGTTTATTTTCTAAACATGATGTCCCAGTGGCTTTCAAACCCCAAAACACATTACGGCAAAGGCTGGTTCACCCCAAAGATCCGGTGCCCCGGCACAAACAGAGCAATGTTGTATATGCTGTTAAGTGCCAGGAGGACTGCGACCAGTTATACATCGGGGAAACAAAGCAACCACTGTTCAAAAGAATGTCCCAACACAGACGAGCTAATTCTAGTGGCCAGAACTCTGCAGTTTTCACTCATTTACAGGCCAGCRGTCACTCTTTCAGAGATGAGGATGTTCTCATTCTTGATAGAGAGGAACGTTGGTTTGTGAGAGGAGTAAAAGAAGCCATTTTTGTAAAGAAAGACCGTCCATCATTAAACAGAGGTGGGGGCCTCCGTTTTCAGCTGTCCCCCTCCTACAGCGCTGCCATTGCCAGTATCACTCCACCCTCTGTTAACAATAGGTATTAATTAAGGTGAACGATGGCCATGTGATGTGAGTATCAGTCACCTGTGAACCATGGCCATGTGATGTGGGTATCAGTCACCTGTGAACCATAGTCATGTGATGTGAGTATCAGTCACCTGGAGGCAGGACTTAAAAGCCTGCATTTTGCCTGAAACTCTCAGACTGAAGAAGTCTCTTGGAAGAGAGACGAAATGTTTCATTAAAGAAGAACCCGTCCAGAGGACCTATACAATTTTTTTTCCTTTTGAAGTTTGTTTAGAGTTGCCTTTGTTCTGTTTGAAACATAAACTAAACCGTCATTATTTTAGTTTGCAGTCCAACTTTTCTTTCCTCTCCTTTATTGTGTCACTGTGATGTACTTCTTTTTTATGTTTTCATCATGTAAAGCACTTTGAATTGCCTTGTGAATTGCCTACGGTGGCCCAGAGGTGTCAGCACAAATACAAAAGCCACAACACATAGTTGAAAACATCAGTTACAAAAATTGATCAAAATGACTTTAAACAACCTCTTTTCTCAATWTATAATTATATATTAGTAAAACTGTGATATGAAAATGTTATGATACATATTACTTGAACGTCAGGCCTTGATTTAAATCAGTGGTCCCCAAACATTTCAGCTTTTGACCCACAAATTAACTGAGGTGAGTAGAGTACCTATAGCACTACTTCAACATACTTTTACTCAAGTAAAAGTAAAACGTGTCCATCTGAGAAATAAGAGTAAAAAAGTATTTGGTAAAAATCAAGTCATCAATCACTCAAAATTTAAAAAGACATCATCAGATGGACCAAAAAATATATATATGTGGAAATTTTTGTGTTTTATCTACCAAAATCAAAATAAATCATATAAATAACATAACTACAAAATAATAAATTCAGGCAAAAGAAACACTTTTCCAAATCAGTTTATTTCATTATAAAATTTATGAATTCAACAAAAATTGCAGCTGTGTCTGCATCTGGTGAATTTTTGGTAAAAACAACCTTGTTTTTCATTCACTGAAGTTACTCACAGTGGGTAGAGTTTCCAGACATTTTACTCAAGTAAGAATATTTCATAATAAAATTACTCGGGTAAAAGTAAAAAGTACAGTGTAATAAAAATACTCATAAAGGCACATTTTTTTTCAAAAAAGTTGTTCAAGAAAATGCAACTGAGTAAATACTTACAACCCAACTTTGCAAACTAGCAGCAGCAGAATGTGTCCTCAACTACTTTTGACTTTTGACTGTTAAACATCAGGTTAAATAAACATGGGCATATGCAGCTACTTTATCCATTTTTAAGTACACTAACCTCACTCTTTTGTAATAACTAATGCAAAAAAAATGTTGTTAGTCACCGTTTTAAATGTAATTATTTCTGAAAATCTTTTCAAGACCCCACCCCGATGTTTCAGGACCCAAAGTTTGGGAAACACTGATTTAAAGTATCTGTTTTTGATTATTTAAAGCAGATAATACTTATCTGGTCAGAAGGAATGCAACTAATCCAGTTGTCACAACTACACTGTAAACTTGCAAAGGGATAAAATTGCTTTTATTTTATCTGTCCTGAAACATAAATGTTGGTGGAATTAAAAAGCTAAAATGGATTTGGAGTTATTCTGAGCTTTCATTTTCTTTTGTTTCAGGATTAAGAGATCATTTGAAAGATGTGTCTGATCAAAACGGAACAAGCAGTTTCTCCATTCGACATCCCCAAAGTGAGTACTTCCTCTCTACTACCATGGGAAAGTTACCATTTGAAAAAACCAAATTATTGCTCAATATTAAAAAAAGCAACTCTAAACTACGAYTCTGCTCTGCCTTCCTCAGATAAAATTGCCGAGTGTCAACAGAAACTGAAAGCAGCTCTGAAGAGGAAGTTCAGTCACTTGCACGACGGGATAACGACAGATGCAAATAAGATATCGTTGAATCAAATCTACACAGAGCTCTACATCACCGAGGGGGGGAGTGGGGACGTCAACAAGGAGCATGAAGTGAGGCAGATCGAGAAGGTGTCGAAGAAATGTGTGACCCAGGACAAATCCATCCACTGCAGCCARCTGTTTGTTCCTCAGCCTGGTAGAGAGCGGCCGATAAGAACTGTGGTCACAAGGGGGGTGGCTGGGATTGGGAAAACGGTATCAGCCAACAAATTTACTCTGGACTGGGCAGAGGACAGGGGGAACACAGACCTGGAGTTCGTGTTCCCGCTTTCCTTCCGAGAGCTGAATCTGATGAGAAAGAAAAGCTTCAGCCTCGTGGAGCTGCTCTGCGTCTTTTTCCCCGAAATAAAAGACGCGGGAGTCTTTACCAGCTCTCAAAACAAAACGCTCTTCATCCTGGACGGCCTGGACGAGAGCCGTCTGTATTTGGACTTCAGCAAATGTGAAATATTATCAGACGTGACGCAGCCAACGTCCATCGCTGTCATCCTGACCAACCTGATCAGGGGACGACTGCTCCCACTGGCTCTAGTCTGGATCACGTCTCGCCCCGTGGCCTCCGGCCAGATCCCTGTGGAGTACATCGATCTGGTCACTGAAGTGCGAGGGTTTGACAACCTTCAAAAAGACGAGTACTTCAGGAGGAAAATTAGCGACACGAGCTTGGCAAGCCGGGTGATAGCGCACGTGAAATCCTGCCGCAGTCTYCACATCATGTGCCACATACCGGTCTTCTGCTGGATGGCGGCGAGCGTTCTCGAGAAGAAGCTGGCGACAAAAGACAGCAAGGAGACGCCCAAGACTCTCACGCAGATGTACATCCACTTCCTGTCTTTGTTCGTGGACACCATGAAGCAGAGCCTCTTAGGAAGAAGGAAGTCCAATGCTGACTGTGTGAGAGCTAACCTCCTGGCGTTGGGTAAACTGGCTTTCAAAGAGCTCGAGAAGGGCCACCTGATCTTCTACGAGAGCGACCTCATCCTTAACGGCATCGATGTCTCTCGGGCGTCCACGTTTTCCGGAATCTACACGCARCTCTTCAACGAGGAGATGGCGCTGTGTGAGGAGAAGATGTTCTGCTTCGTGCACCTGAGCGTTCAGGAGTTCTTTGCGGCGTTGTACGTCTACCTCACCTTCCACAACGAAAACACCAACGTCCTCGTCAAGAAGTCGTCCGTTTCGCGCCGCCTCCTCTCCAGGGAGTTGTCAGAGCTCATCCTCTACAAAGAAGCCGTGGAAAAGGCGCTGCTGTGTGAAAATGGACATTTTGACATCTTCCTTCGCTTCCTGTTGGGCCTGTCGCTCGAGACCAACCAGGCGCTGCTGAAACACCTGATGAGCAGCAACAGAACACACCAGAAGACAAGAACTGAAATCATCAAACACATAAAGGAGAGGATCAAGGGTAGCCAGTCCGCAGACCGCTGCCTCAATCTGTTCCACTGTCTGAATGAGCTGAACGATCACTCGCTCGTGGAGGAGATCCAGAGCTACTTCAGCTCAGGCATGCTGAACAGAACCAACCTTTCTCCTGCCCAGTGGGCCACACTGGTCTTTGTCTTACTGACCTCTGAGGAAGAACTCAACGTGTTTGACCTGGGGAACTACGCCAGGTCAGAGGAGGGGCTTCTGAGACTGCTGCCTGTGGTGAAAACAGTCCAAGTGGCAAAGTAAGTCCTTGAAACGGCGCCTCATACGGAGCTACTTCAAGGTTTTTAACCTCTGGAAATAAAACTGCTTTAACACAAGCTGAAACATGTCTTAAAAACTGAACCAAAATCATTTCCAAACATTTTATATCATCATTTAGCTGTAAATGAAATAATGTTTTTCTATTACTCTAAAAAAAAACAGAGGTAAAGGATTTCTTGGAAAACAGTTATGTCAGCTGGTTCAACACATAAATGCTTAAAGTAAATGTGTTACTCAATTCGTCCTGATGCATCTCAGTAATCCAGGTAGAAAAAAATCAAAAAGAAAAAATAAGTAGGTCCTCTGGATGGGTTCTTCTTTAGTGAAACGTTTCGTCTCTCCTCCAAGAGACCTCTTCAGTCTGATGAGTTTCAGGTGAACTCAACCTTATAAGCACTGCCTCCACATGGACAAACAGGTTAGTCACATGCAAAAGAGGGCCAACGCCTAAAAATAGGTTTGATTAGCTCTATTTAGTCACATGCAAAAAAGGGCCATCGCCTAACAATAGGCTTGATTAGCTCTATTTAGTCACATGCAAAAGGGGGCCATCGCCTAACAATAGGCTTGATTAGCTCTATTTAGTCATATGCAAAAAAGGGCCATCGCCTAACAATAGGCTTGATTAGCGTTACTGTTCATAGAAGGTCATGTGCCCCGTCACCTGAGTTATTGGTTTGGACGCTTCGGCTGTGGTTCAGTGTGGTTTTGTCTCTTTAAAGAGAGACAAAAACAAGGGGACGTCGAGCCCCGCTTGGACTCACTAAATACACGACACCAAAGTACCACAGCATCCAAACAAATAAGTCAGGTGATGGGGCACATGACCCTCTATGAACAATAGAGCTAATCAAGCCTATTGTTAGGCGATGGCCCTCTTTTGCATATGACTAACCTGTTTGTCCATGTGGAGGCAGTGCTTATAAGGCTGAGTTCACCTGAAACTCATCAGACTGAAGAAATCTCTTGGAGGAGAGACGAAATGTTTCACTAAAGAAGAACCGATCCAGAGGACCTACAGTTGTGGTCAAAAGTTTACATACACTTGTAAA